TGGCTATCTCCTCGACTAATGGATCCATCTTATCAACAAAGGCACATTCCTCGACAAAGTTTATCGAGGATACTGATGTGGCTTCCCGAACCGATATGGATACCGATTCACTCAAAACCGTCATGTTTAATGTACCATTGTTTACGTCTATCAATGTGTTGGTGGTGGCCATGAATGGTCCGCCGAGAAAGATAGTGTGATTCTTCCCATCTTCTTGTATGTCTCCGACATCCAAGACCACAAAATCTACTGGGACAATTAGTTTCTCGACACGAACAAGAACATCCTCCACTACCCCCTTGGGATAGCGAATCGAACGGTCTGCAAGTTGGAGGCACATTCGGGTTGACCGTAAATCACCAAGGCCAAGCTTTTGAAAAATGGAGAATGGCATGAGGTTGATCCCTGCTCCGAGAGCTAGCATCCCCGAAGCCTCTTTCCCATTCCCGAGGGCATTCTTGATTATAAAACCCCCAGGATCACGTTCCTTTTTCGGCAAGTCATGATGCATAGCACTTGCCGCCTCATAAACGACCACCTTCTCGACATCTCCGAACTTCCACTTTCTCGTCACAAGTGTTTGAAAAATTTTACATAGGACGGCATATTTTTTTATAACGTCTAGCAATGGAAGGTTGACATTAACCTTCGAAAGCATGTTGTATAGGTCTCGAAATTGTTTCTCTTGCTTCTCGTCCTTCAATCGTCCTGGAAAAGTTATACGAGGTCTGTATGGATTCGAGGCTTTATGCAATAGTGAGTCATTCGTAGTCTTCTTTGCATCGCCCTCTTTGTTTGTTACCATGACATTGTCCCTTGTTAATTGAGCTTGGTTTTCTTATTCGAGTGGAGTTGGCATTTCCACCTGGTTATCGACCACCTTTCCGCTTCGCAAAACCGTTATTGCTTTGGCCTCCGTGGGTTGACTGGGAAGCTTTCCTTTGTCTGCCTCAGCCTCAATATTTCCAACTCGAGTAGCTAGTTGCCCCACTTGGGTTTCTAGGCGTTTGATTGATGACTCTTGGTTGGTCATGAATTGGAGAACTTTGTCCCACCTATCGTCTTGGTGAGACGAACCTTGTCCTGTCTCCTGGTTTTGCATCCCGATAATTGGTCCCCTTTGTTGTTGTTGAAACTGCTGTTGTGGGTAATTCGGCCTCATTTGCTGTTGAGGAACATAATTGGGCCAAGGTTTTTGTTGAGCGAAATTTTGTCGGGGCTGTTGAACGTTGTTGTTGTTAGCCCAAGAGAAATTAGGGTGGTTTCGCCACCCTGGTTTGTATGTGTTGGAGAATGGATCATTGACCGATCGGTTCTGGTATCCCTGCAAGGCGTTGGCATCTGCCGGTTGCTCGCCAAAGTCTTGATCGAAGGCCGAAGAGCACATCTCCGATCCATGCCCTTGAACTCCACACGCCCTGCAAACATTAACAGCCATGGATTGCATTGGCTGAACTCCTCTTGAGGTGAGTAACCTCATTTGCTCCGTTAGTTCGGCGATTTGCCGAGCAATAGCATCTTGTCCGGGCGAGACCTCGTTTACGGCCATTCTCTTCCCTCTAAAGCTCTTTTGAGATGAGTTGGTACTCATCGTCTCAAAAATCTCCATCATTTCCTCCGCCGTGCGAGCACCGATATGTCCCCCGGTGGCATTGTCCACCATGTATTATAGGTTTCTGTCGAGAGAATCGTAAAAACTGCTTACCAATAGGCCGGATGGAAGATTATGATGTGGGCACTGTCTTTGAAGGTCTTTGAATCGCTCCCACGCCTCATGGAATGGCTCATTGGGATGTTGGGCAAATGAGACGATTTGGCCTCTCAACTCCTAGGTCTTCTGGTGGGAAAAGTATTTCCCAATGAACTTGGAATACACTTGCTCCCAAGTAGTGAGTGAGTCGGGAGCAAGATTCATAAACCAAGCCTTTGCCCGGTCCTTTAATGTGTGCGGAAAACACCTCATTTTTAGTTGGTCCTCATTTAACCCTTGAAGAGAAAGGGTTTGGAGGACATTATAGAACTCCCGGATGAAATGGAGAGGATCTTCGTTCGGCAAGCCATAGAAGGATGGGAGCTGGTTGTAGTGAATTGTTTTTAGCTCATAATTCCGAGCCGCAGGTCTCAAACGGATGCAAGAAGTCACCGGTCCAACCATCGGTTGGGCCATTTCTCGGAGGAGAGAACGTGGAGGTGAATTTCCCCTCTGTACGTCTTGGTGCGCCATTTTCTCCGGATCTTTTGATGTAGAGGTATCCGGAGTGAATTTTATTTTTGTCAGTTTCTTTTTGCTCTTTTCGTCTTTCGGAGTAAGAACAAATCAGCTCCTAGTACGCATACAAAAACAAAGAAACCGTCACAAGCACCAGATATAATATATATATATATATTTACAATTAATAAAAATATTAATTTTTTATATTTATTTATTATTTATATATATATATATTTATTTCTTAATAATATTTTTTTTTACTGATTAAAACAAATAAAAAGAAGTGAGCTAAAAAGAACAAAAAATACAATTTATATATAAATAATAAAAAAAATCGCGAGAACTACAAAAATTAAGAAAAATCACAAAAATGAGAGAAATAAAAAAAAAATGAGACAATTAAATATCTAACTAGGCATCCTATTACCTTCCCCGGCAACGGCGCCAATTTTGTTCGTAGGATTTTTGTGGGTATTTGGTAACCGAGTTACCCGACCTCGGGTCGATCTCAAGGAAGGTCGTTCGGAGCTTTGTTTTTTATTTAATTGTCTAAATACAAAAATGAGAAATTAAAACTAAACATTCTAATCCATTTTGATGTGGTTTTATAATTAATTAAAATTCTTAATTTAATTTAACAAACATAAAATAAAAAGAACAGTGAATAAACAACAGTAAAATAATAAAAATGGTAAATAGGTAAAAAGAATAAAGATGAGGAAAGTGTAAGGGAATTAGGAAATAATTGTATCAATTATAATGATAACTTTGAATTGTTAATCGTTCGGTTAAATGATTCGATAAACACACTAACTTAGAGGTTCATATTCCATTTAATTACGAGTAAAAATATAAACATAAATCAATGTATTTACTTACCACTTAACATATAAGCAATACAATTACGTGTAAACTTATTTATTTCGAGCGTGTAAACTTATTTATTTCGAGCCGTGATCAATCAACTTCGCCATTTTCGGGTTAAAAGTCAATTAAGTAGATTTAAAAGAATGTTTAGTTCTACTTAAATCATAAAAATAAATATAACTCAAAATAATAGGAACTATCAACAATTCATCATCATCATCGAACCGACACAATCATTTCCCTATCCCTAACGAAGAGTTTAGTTTGTCATGATTTTATTGACACAAATAATAAGAATAATCCAAGCTATCGTTTTACTCATAAAAACTTTCGAACGATAACTTACGATTACGATTAAAACTTGACATCAATATATCACTTAGAACTTTTAGAGAAATGGAAATAAACAACTTACAAGATTAAAACCGAGCTTGCATGCATAGATCAAACTTGAAAAATATCAAGAACACTAAGAACACTCTTGAAAATATTACAAAGAAAAGAGAAGATTATAGCTAAGAAAAAGTGAAGTTTTTTTTTAATAAGTGAAAGAGAAGAGAGTATTTATAGGAAAAAAATAGAAAACTTGTAATATAAGAAAAGAAAAATGTGGGAAAGAAGATAGAAAAAATGGGAAAGAAAATATGTAAGAAAAGGTGAGAGAAGATAGGAAATTTGAGAGAAAAGTTGGAATTTTCGGACAAAATCCGAGAGTGATTTTTCCGCGCGCATTCGCGCACGTCTCGGGCGGCTTTGCTTCTCGGGCTCGTTTTGGGCTCGTCTGAACTCGGAATTGAGTTCCGATTTTTCTACGCGTTGCTAACGAACCCCTATATTCAATGATGTATGCCAATACAAATTTCTCATAGAATACAATTATCTAAGGATTTTTAACTTCCAAGGTGTCGGCAACTCTCTCGATTTTACGCTTCGGTCCCGTACGACTCATCTGAACTCGAAATCGAGTTTCGCTTTTTCCTGTGTGTAGCTAACGAGCTCCTCTTTCCATTAATGTGATCATGCCCAATAACTTTCCAAAATCCTGCTCTTTCGAGATTTTCGACCGTTTCTTTATTTTACAAATACTCAAAAAATACAAGAAAAATATACAAAAATCCACACAAATACTTAAATATTACAAATCATAAAAAAACTAAAAACTACCCAAAATCTCACAAAATTACTAAAAATAAATAAAAATAATAATAAAAAATATTAATAAACACATAACAAAAATAACACTAACACTAATCTCATAATATCTCATATCAGATTTGTTTCAAATCCACCCTCTGTAACCTCTCTCTCACCGAACCTGCAACAGCAAAACATCCTTCACCATTGATTCCGGTGAACACTTACCATTCGAAAATCCGACCATCCACGCGAGCCTGAAATCGACATCTATCCGAATTCTCGAGCAACCCCAGTCCGTCGGAAAGACCCCGCAACTTTGTTCGCGTGTTACCGGCAGCCACCATTGCCGGGGAACTTGAGCCGCCGTCGAGCCGATTGTCGAGGTAAGGCCCCGCAGCAACCAGGACGTCTATCCTTTCGTGAGCAGCGACGCATTCAAGGAGTTTCGAACCTTGGAGGTGTTGGACAGTTCATTCTGTTCGTGCCCGTCGTCCGTTCGTTCCCAACAAAATTTCCCGAAGAAAGGTATTCGGCGAACCTTCTCGATGCAAACGTACTCGTGTTTGCTCGTTTGGATATATTCATACTATTTGAATCGATTTTTGTTTGATTTGTTGGCTCGTATATTGTTTTGATCGTTGGATTATGTTTTGTGTTATTGTCATGGATTTTCGGAACTCTTGTTTATCGTATAAATCAAGTCAGCATGTGCTGCTGTGTCTATTTGATTGGTATATGATAACTCGGAGTCTCGTTTTATTGTTTCGAACCTTGTCGACGTGGTTGTGTTGTTTATTATATTTCAAGCCATATTATTGTCGGTTAGATTTGTGATTTAAAAACCCGTTTTAAAAACATTCCAGGAACTCTGGGAAATTGTATGTTCGATAGTGTTGCAAATGTTCGAACCCCTCGTGAAATTTATGTTGAAATTCGACCATTAGGGAACTTGTGTTGCATCCCTGTTCGAACGTTTCTGTCTCTGCTCTTTTTTTGTTCAGGTCCCAGGAGTTTTGTTAGATTATATTGCTTAAGTTTTCAATTAATTAGCATCCAGAGCATATGGTGCAGTTGTTCACCGTGTCATATCCTTTACGCGATGTCGCGTGTTCGAACCCCGTATCCCCTGTATGTAGATGGCATTTTTTTTTTAAAATAGCCAGCCTCAGGCGCGCGGGCCATAAGGCCCGAAATTAGCCTGCGCGGCCCGATCCTATCCCTCCCTCCAGCCCGCGAGCAGCCCTCAGTCAGCCCACGTCCCAGCCCGATGTCCCCGCCCATATCCAGCTGTTGGCAGGCCCATGATTTCGGCCCCAAATCGCATGTGTAAAGCCCAAATGTGGGGCAGTCTTTGGCAAGTATTTGGCAGCTCGGCCTAATTCGGTTTTTAGGCCTATTTTGAGTTCCGGAACCCGTTTTTTGCATTGTTTTAAATTTCAAAAAAAAAAATATTTTATGAAACAAGAAATTTGGAAAAATATTTATAAGTCTCGAGACTCCAAATTAATTTTCCGTGTCCTATTTTGCAAAAATGAGAGAGTTCCAAGTCCACGAAAAATTCGATTAAAACCCTTAAGTCTTAATAACGCCGATCTTCCTTTAAGTAGGGGTTTTGTGTTAAATTCGAGTAGCGAGATATATTATTGATAAATTATCTCGCTTAAATGTAGGTGTTTGAGGAGTCGAGCCTCATCATACGTACCTGCTTTTGTGTGCAATTTTCTACCGAGTTACCAAGTTGGTTTTATTTGAAAAATTACTATGCCTTAAATGTTATTACTGTTTAGTTGTGGTTTGATCAAGGTATACATGTGAATCATGTAGCCTTCGGTGTGAGCTGTATTGGGCACCGGACGGTTGTCCCCGTAGCTATAGAACGTACCTTCGGGTAGTCTCCCTTGATAAGCCGTAAGACCAGGGCTTAGGTCCCTCGGCCGGTGATCCTCATTGGTAAGTCCAAGGCAAGGCCTTGGTCGGTGGGGTGGTTTACTCCTACTGGCTGGCACTCGATGTAGGACCGAAGGGCATTCGATATATAGTCAGCAGTAGTCTATGCGTAGGTGTGCACATTAGTCTGATTATTGTATTATTGATGGGAGAATGGGATAGATTATTGCTTCTTTGATTATTGATTACTGTTGATTATTGACATTAACAGTTATGGCATAGCGGTGAGCACTACTGTTTCCTTTGTGCTCATCCACACGTGCTCTTCATGGATGGAGGTAAGATAGAGCGGCACGACGGAAGGGATGTGAGTGGTGGTCTTTAATTTGAATAAATGCTTCCGCTTTGAACTGAACTCGGATATTATTGCATTATTATTGATTATTGTT